CGGATCATATCCATCAGATATCTAGCGACTTCAAATTGAATTCGGATTATAATTGGATCATTTTATGAACAAAATGAATCGAAATTTATTTGTACAAAACTTGAGCCTATGACATCAATTTAATGAAAATATAACATGCATTGAGACCAACTTCAGTGAAAGATATAATATAATTTTTAAGTTATACATGAGCATATATATTTAAATCGAATTGAATCAGATTATATCGGATCAGAGGGGTAAATCCATATTTGATCTAATTCTAAATGGGTCAAATTCAGATCACCATTAATAGGATCAAATTCAAATTCAGATAATATCAGATAATGTTTGCAGCTAGCCCTAATGTATTTTTCGTTTTTTTAACAAAAACCAACTCGTCTCTGCTTTTCAATGCAAGGACACAGTTAAAAGCAAGTTTTTTTTTTCAAGGTGGAAACTTAAAAAAACAAACGAAAACAAAAACATTCATGTTGTAATTTGAAAAATACTCCTTTTTTTAAGGGGTGTTCTACAACATAAATTGTTTTTCTTGTTGCGGTTTCCAGAAACAAAGCAAAACCATATTCTTGATTGTGTGTATTTTTGGTTTTCAAAAGTGAAATAAAAAAATTCATTTTCAAAACAGAAACATGTTCATACATATTCCATAAATCATATAATTTTTATACTAAAAAAATTGTTTTTGTTTTAAAAACCAATATCAAAAACATATAATATTTTTTTAATTTGAAACAAAACCATCTTATCTTTGCCTTTGAAAACAAAAACAGATACATTCATGTTGTAAAGCGTTGGTTCCAATAAAATAATGTTACCAAGATATCAAGCTTCCCAAAATGGGATTTGACAAAATCTCCCAGAGAAGCAATACTAGAGGGGTCCATCACATCTAGCTGATGAAAAATCACATTACAGAGTCCGGTGGCTTTGAGATTTTCAACAGCCTGGAGACCCTTCTTCTCATCTCTAGCTGTTAACACCACCAGTACACCTTTAGATGCTAACTGTCGACAGATCTCCAGTCCAATCCCTTTATTGGCTCCTGTAACAACTGCACACCTGCAAAACAGATCCACAATTGGAGATGTTGGAGGATTCGATCAGAACGTTTACAGGAATGATTTGATTAATCTTAAGTAGCAAACATATCAACTACCTCTTTGTGGCAACAGTAGGACTTTCGATTGTTTCCGCCATTCCGATGATTTTTTCCGGAGGATTATAGCCAAAGATCTCTTCTTTTTGGTCTGCAAGTGAAGGAGATGAGATATAGATCCTTATTGTCTCGTATAACCGACGGATGTAGGAACTAGAAATAGCTCATTAAGTTTAGATAGCTAGCTAGAAATTGTCCTATATATTCACAGGCCTCTTTAAGGCTGAGTTTGAAAATATGTACTATGCAGATACAAACAAAATCCAGCATGTGAACAGGTCTAATGGTCGGGGACAAAGCAAGAAACACATGAGATCCACTAACTTTACGATAATGAATCTATGAGAAAGATGCCAAATGACCATCTGAGTTACTAGGTCATTAGAACTCAACCCATGATTATGAAGTAAAATATGTGAGACATGTCGTGTTCATTGTTTCACTCTTATTTACCAATTGACTTGTACCACCACCTTTGATCACCAAAAGACGGGAGGTTTGTTAAGGGAAGATTGAGTTATGATCCCTGATGTAGCACGATCTGTTCATTCCTATCTGGCAGGGCCTCACTCCTAATTGGCAACGGACAGCACCTGAGAAGGAGAAGAAGACGAAGAATTTCCGGGGAGTTCGCCCGGCGGGAACACTCCGCTGCTTAAGTTAGAACTCGTCATAAAACTGAGAGAGTTACGAATAAATAAATGCCAAGAGTGAAGATGCGCCATTCTCGATTACCTTGCCCCTTGGAAATCGGGGCCTTTATATACTGATGCTCTATCAAATCGGGTGTAACCGCCTCTGATTCTCTGCTACAACCGTTATTCGCCAGGCTGATTCGACTGGTGCAGGTAACCGTCACAGAGTACGGTCCCGTCAGTTGAGAGACGTTACACAGAACTGGCGTGCACGACGCCGCCTGGCGTGAGACGTGGGCGCAGTCCTTTGGACTGGCAGGTGCTGCACCACCAAACAAGAGACGTGGGAGCAGTCTGACAGGCACGGTCTTGTCAGATAAGAAGTTTCCGGAAGACTCCGGGTTATTCAATAGCGAGCTCCTTCGTAGCGAGCTCCTTTGTAGCGAGCTCCAATAGCGGCTGACTTGCAGCAAGCCGTTCTGCAGTGAGTTGTAGCGAGCTATCTTGTGGCGAGCTGTTCATGCCGAGTTTTCAGCGAGCTCATTATGCCGAGTTATGGTCAAGCTGTCATTTACGTCGAGTCATGTCCACATGTCCCCTGGTTAGGAGGTCGGGTCAAATCACCCTCCATCAATTGCCCCTCACTCCTCGAGTTAAGGGTCTTGCTCTAGCGCGGGGAGTTCATGAAATGATGGGTGGATTTGACCCCCAATTCAAATTACTTTGACTGACCGCGCGTGGTTTTCAGGTTTTTCGGACGCCAAAAAACGTGCCAAACTGCCTTCAGTTTCGGAAGACGTGCGGTCATCTTTATTGCGAGCCGTTGGATTCGCTTCAATCGGAGCCGTTGGCTTTCGAGCACAGTGGCTATAAATAGGAGGGCCCCAGGCCTTATTTTTTTTTATGCCAACTTGCTTTGCTTTCGGTTTTGAGGTCACGCCTTCACCTTGTTTGCTCGAGCTCTCCTCGCTCGCGTCGCTTTCTCAGTTCATTTTTTTTCTAGTCAATCCCCTGTCTTGTCCAACAATGTCTGGGTACCTGTGGGACGGTAACCAGGGCGAGGTCCCCTCGAGCTCAAGGGGAGCTTGGGGTTTCCCCGAAGGGCGGTCTTTGGAGGCTCAGGAAGCCTCCGGTAACTTGGCTTCCACTTCCCGGGGTTGGGAGCCGGATAGCTTTGGCCCTTCCTCCATGTCTATGGAGAGACTTCAGGCCCTAGTCTTTCATTATAACCTCCCCAAGGATATTAATTACGGCCTCCCATCCGGCAACTATCCCTGGGAACACGATCACGACGAGATCGTGATCTTTGAGGAGCAGCTCGTGGCTGGTCTCCGACTCCCTCTACACCCTTTGATAGTGGAGGTTCTTACCCATTTCAATGTCACCATAGACCAACTGCACCCGAACTCTGTTTGGAACTTGGTGGGGACTATTTCCCTGTTCTTTGAGTATTGTCTTCCTCTTTCCCTTGATACCTTTGCCTCTATCTTGTCAATTAAGAATGCCTCCCCCGGAGCCCCTCCAGAAAGGCGCTCTTATTACTTTTCCCCCCGTTCGGGCTTTAAGCTCCTCCATGAGCTGCCTAACAGGATCCCAGCCTGGAAGCGGGGTTACTTTGTAGTTTGCAATCCCGAGGGGTGGCCCTTTCTGACCCACTAGAGGGCCGCCATTCAGGATCCGAGCGTTGACTTGGACCCGAAGGTTCAGGAAACGCTGCAGTCCTGGGCGGGGTCGCCTTTCTCTATTCGGATTACTTGGCTGAGGATAAGCTTGTGCATGCTGGCTGAGCCCCGGTAGGTTACCTTTAGGTTGCCTTCTTTTTTTTTACGAGCTGGACTAATGCCTTGTGATTCTTGCAGCCAACATGTCTGGTGTGGATGCACGTCACCTGTTGTCAAGCAACCAGAAGCGTAGGATGAAGAGGTCGCGCCACGACCAAGCATCCACTTCTGGGGCCATCGAGTTCGAGGCTGTGGACCCATCCATTGTTCCGCCACCGGAGGTCCCACCTGTGTCGTTCGAGGGAGTAGCCGCGGGAGGCAGCGAAGAAGAAGAGGTCCCACCCCAGGATTAGTATCCTCCGGCCTCGCGGTCCGGCCCCACCGTCTTCCCGCGGTTTCCTACCGAGGTGAGGGATGAAAGCGTCACCAACTTCCTTGTGGCCTCGCGGAGGAGCCACCAGGCGGTCAGTCAGGAGGAGATCGCGGACTGGGCTGGGATGCACCCTAGGCCGCTCTCCAAGCTGGCCTCGGATCACTGCATGGTGGTAAGTGCCTACTTCTTCCCTTTTTCTCTCCCCTTTCTCTTTTTCTATTTTTTTTTTTTTACTTACCTCGGCTTTCTATTGGCTGCTGAACTCCGTCATCCACGCCATGGCCTGTCAAACTGCTATTCACACTCAGGATGCCACCAAACAGAGGTCGGAAGTGCGGAGGCTCCAACGCGAGCTCGACCAGGCCCGGGGTGAGGTCCTCTAGGCTCAAAAGGGGAGCGAGGCCCAGGAGCTGCTCATTAGGAACCAGGAAGCGCGGATCTCCCGATTGTTTGAGGAGAGCGCCCGTTACAGGGAGGAGTCTTCGAGGGTGACGACGGAGAGGGAGTTTCTTCGTCAGCAGGTCCAGAGCTTGGAGTCCACACTCCATGAGCGGACCCGAAACTTCGACGCCGTGGTGGAGGAAGAGTAGGCTAAGGTGATGGAGGACTTTAAAGAGTCCCAGCAATTCAATGACCTCAAGGTCGAGTACGGCTCGAAGTCCTACCATTCAGGGTTCAAGCTTTGTCGATGGCTGGTCCGGAAGAAGTTCTCTGGCCTTAACCTTGAAGGTGTGACAATGAAGGACCTAGCCCCAGAGACGGTGGACACTGCGAAGGAGGAGGAGCCCGACTCCCTGGAGGAAAGCGACGAGGACGTAGAGGTGGTGGGACCTTGAGGCTGGTTGTTCTTTTTTTTTCTTCTGAATGAATGAATCTTTTGTAGTGGTTGTTCCCGGGCAGCTGAGCTTGGTTTTCTTTTCTTTTCTTTTTTT